TCTTTAAATGACACGATACTAGTTTGTGTCATTGTTACAGCTTATAGCCACAACAGTTGATGGATTACACCTGGCTCATTAAACAACAGAGAGGAATAAAAGCCTCTTGGAGTTGAGCATGGTCGTGTGGCTCAGATAGTGTGATGAAAGCCTAATTTCCATATGCTATTTGCACTTCACACAGCACATTTAAAGCCCACTGCTCATTGTGGCAGTGATCCAGGCTGTGCTCTAGTCTTTACAGAGGCCAAAATAGCCATTGAACATCAAGAAAGTAGACCTTACTTTGCATCTATGTGACAGCAATGTCACTGTCAGAGACACTGATATGCTGGTGCTTGACATGCCACATGCTTCTGCCTGCTTTCTGGTTGAAACAAGTGATGCATGTTTTTCCTGGTTAAACTGTTGTGACAACTGTCTGTCTACAGTTCAGTTTTTTTATCTACAAGTTTGACCTGAGTGATAACGTAGTGTCAACCACAGTGCTGCGAATGTTTACTTGGGTGTAATTGTAGTTTAATCCATCAGGCTATAAATTTCATACTGTTTCTGACATGATGGCTTAGATGAGTTGCTTGACTGTTTACTTTAAGCGATCATAAGTGACAGGTGAGTTTCCACTTCTGCCAGTTTTATTGAGTTGGGGGTGTGGCTTTTGAAGATTGGCTATGGCAACTCGCACCATTGGCTCTATTATCCAGTAGACTTGAAAACATGTTTGGCCTTGTGGTGTACCTCAGGGATCTGTCTTGGGTCCAATTCTCTTTTTACTTTATATATTCCCCCTAGGCCAAATTATTAGGCAAATTCTCTTCCACTGTTTTTACGCTGTACAGACTCCATCGATTCTTTTAAAAAGCAGCTGAAGACATTTTTATAGATAAACTTTCAACTAATTAGTTGTTTTTATGTTGTATTTTATTGTTTTACATCGTTAGGTGTTGTATTTTCATTCTTTGTATTGTGAAGTACTTTGTGATTTTCATCTGTGAAAAGGGCAATATAAATAAACTTTACTTACTTACTTACAAATGATTATCTATTGAAAATAGCACACTAGTCTATTTGGCCAAATCCCAGTCTGGGCCCCACACCTCTCCCTTAACACAGCAGGGGTATGAACCATACTCTAATGTGGAACAATATCTATGCACCTATATGAGGACTGCTAATAAATACAATTACATAATTATTGAACTGATTATGACGCTCCTTTAAAGAAAAGTTTTGAAAGTTGCCAAAATGTCTTAGTGAAATTAAGCAGATTTGGTGAAACATAGATATGTCCTTTAGAAAGGAACATTTGACTATTTTTTCTACAAGAATAGCATCCTAAAGTTAACTCAGCTGTGGATTTGTCAGACCTGAATCATTTGCTTAAGCCTCACTGATCTCAGCAGGGAAAAAGGGCTGAACAGCAGCCAAAGTTTCGAATGGGAATCGTGGGAAACAGCGTAAATAAGGATACGAGTGACGCACAGGAATATGTTAAATAAAAATGACTTTAAATCACTTGTATTTGTCATCCTACCAGAGGCTATTAACAAAACCTCCTCCTCAAGGAGGTGTGGGGGTCCTTGCAGACCTTGAGGTAGAATTAGCTATGAGGCATGATGGATGGCTTGTGAGCAAGGCAGGCTGAGTCAGTTGAATTTAAAACTGCCATTGACGGAATCGTTATATGAAAAAGTGTGAATCATGCTGAATTCAGAAGTCTTGGAAATTAGTCAGGATTCTTTAATGGCAGTCTTGGTGACTTGGCAGACCACCAGCGCGTCATTTAAACAGTGAACTCATATTTCAGAAAGGATGTGAATGCACGGGTGTGAGTCACGTGATGATGTCCCCCCCAACACACACACACACACACACACACACACACACACACAGGGTGGTGGATTCCTCTCGTCTTATTGCGCAGCATGATACTGCAGCTCCGCAACAGCTCCACACGCCAACCCACCTTGAAACGCTCCCTCCACTGCTGCATTCATGCTGTCCAAGAAAAATGGGAAGATGTAATTAATTACCTTTAAAAAGCTAAAATCAGGAAGTCATCGTTTTGTTCATAAGCACTGACTCCTCCGACTTGCAAACATTCAGAGTCACGCATAATACAGTCAAAGAGCAGTAAACGCCTTAAAGAAATAGGATTGGTTTCCATCCATTATAAAGGGTAACCACCTGTTGGGTTGTTTCTGTCTGCAGATGTCTGACGTGGTTTTGTATAATAAGTTTTTCCCTTCAGTTTTATCATTGAGATGCTGCACTTACCATATCGGATGGTTTGCCTCTAACTCTATTACAAGTGACCAACATAACATTATTTTCTCCAGTACACGCCATTACAGCTGTTAATGTAAGTTTATTCGCACTGAAACAAACAAACCACAAAAAGCCAGCGACGAGCAGCTATTCCTGGGTGCTCCACCGAGCAGAGGTGCAGAACCTCCGAGCCTCACCACATGCCAGGAACGCATCACTCCAACTCGGAAAACGACAGCGCAGGTAACCAATCAGAGTCCGGAACCCACCCACACCCTTCAATGAAACGGGTGTGGAGGCGGGCTCGTGGATATCTAAAGGCTCGCGCTTGGTTTCACAGCGTCGCCTGCTCTCGTCCCATTGGCGCAGGTGATCCAACTCAGGATGCGAGTGGAGAGCGGAGGAGAGGGGAAGAGAGAGGGGGAAGCGCCGATGGAAAAGTGTCCAGGGCTCGGTTAACAAGAAGACAAGGATACCGGCCCGCTTCAGTTTGTCCTGGGGCACTCGGCGATGAGAGATTCACCGAAAGGGGCACTTTGAGATATGATGAGATTTATTTCTGGTCGGCAATAGTACTATGATTTGGTATGTGGCCACTTTGATAGCAAGTGTATTCAGCACCCGAGGAACGGCCGCTCAAGGTGAGTCGAAGTGCAGTGTGTGTGTCCGCGGGTGCTCTTTGCTCAAGTTTTCACTTTGGCACGTTCAAACTATGAAATGGCTTTTTATGCTTTTCTTATTAGCTCACTCTGACTGTGTCGGCTCTGTGGGAAAATGTCAAAACAAGTTCATACGTGTGTTCATCACCTGAGTGGGTAAATGATAAGGGACCGGTCCACCGTTAAAAGAAAAAAAAGGAGGAGGATAAACCTGGTTTAAACATGCTTATTCCCGCCGTAATGTATCTCGGGAAATTGTGGTTATCATTGATAAATGGCACTGCCGAAGTTGTGACGTTTTTGGCTCCAGAGTGACAGATTTTGCAGTCTATTTGGGTTGGCATATTCCTCCCGAGACGCGTGAGTTTGGGCTCTCGCAGCTGTAGCAGCCTGTCTCACTGAGCTCCACGCCGGTCTGCAGCTGCTGAAATCTGAAGGCAGATGTGATTAGTATGGTGCGCTGGTGTAGATGTCATTATAATGCTATGAATGGATTAACCTCTTCCTGGGGAGCGGCTGAAGCTCAGTTGTGGCGGACTTTGTCCGCTAGAGGGAGAACTTTGACATTTAGGGGAATTCACACGGTTGTCGTCACTCTTCAGGCTGCTTTTCACGCACTAATGACAAGTTGTGATGACTTCAGATCTCTTGGCTTGTTGACGTCATGGGTGACGGGTCATAACCTTTCCATGGGGCACTGAGGGACTTCTTCTGAGAAGCTGTTACCAAGCTTTATATTCAGAGAGCACATCAGTGTAGGAGGCAGTCTTTTGGTCAAAAACGACAAAAAACAGTAAAAAATTATAATTTTCTTAAAGCTAAGTTGACATATTGTTACAGTTTGTTCTGCCTTATCAGCGCTCCAAAGCATGAGCGTATTCACATAGCACATTGTTACTGTTTGTTCAGTCTGATCAACTCTCCAAAGCTCAAAAGTATCCACATAGCTGTCTGTGAACCAGTTAATTAATTGTCTGAGCTTTAATTCTATATGGCATCATTTCCTAGCCACATATAATTCAGTGATCTGAAAGTGTGTCATGGAGTCTGAGTCTGTCTCACATCAATGATGTCATGCACAGGGAGGGATATGGCGGGCAAGCAAAGCTGCAATAGCGCTTTAACCTTAAAAATCCCCCACTCATCTTGGAGAGAGAGGAGAGATGCAGGCGACTGGGACGGCATATGTGCTTCGGCATGATTAAATGATAAGGAAGGGATTCTGTCAGCGAGCTGTCCACCACTGTGTGTCAGACTTTTGACACAACAGACACTTGCAGGTTTTTTATTATGTTTATTTTTGCTCACATCATTCTGGCGTGTGAGACAGGGCTCCGCTAGCTCCACTGCAAACAGTTATGTAATATGCAGCCTAAAAAGGATACACTTGAGCATCGCCTGCCAAAGGAAGGAGACTTAGAGCGATGTTTTTAAGCGGCTTCCCCAAGCCATTCAATGTCTGGGACAGCTGGCGACTTGTAGGAGGAGGAGCGATGGTGGCTGGTCTCGCGTTTTGTAAAGACTTCCCCCTTAGGAAGTCTGTCAGGTTATGCATCTGATCCTTGTGCTGTGACGGAGCTCTGCAGCATCCATTGTTGAGCACACAGGCACACTCACTGAGACAAACGGCCCGGCTGGTAGAAGCGGCGCAGGGCAGCATCCTCGCATCAGAGCGCTGCTGTCCCAAGCTGGCGGCTGGCAAGTGGCTCGACT